TAATGCAACCCTGATCTCTAGCCTGGAGTGACTCTGAGCTTGCGTAAAATAGGAGGGTTTATTGAGCGTATGAACCCAGCACAGGAAACTCTCAGGCCTGGCCTCCCTCAGCACAGCACATCCCAGTCTCCCCTGCATCCAGGTGGGCTCTGCCTGCTCCCTCTCTCCAGTCCCGAGCCCCCTTGCTTCCTAGCTGGGCATCTGAGATCAAGCCATTGTCCATTGTCTTCTCTTCAGGTAAACAGGGTCACCTGGGCCTCCTCTCCTCTCTTCTGTCCTCTCTGGCTGGAACCGGCTGGTCCTCCCTTCACAGCCCATTGTCCTCCCAATGGCCAGAACCGGCTGTGACTCCCGAGCTGGGCCTCCCAGTCACCAGGTTACCAGTCGCTGGGGTATCCATCCTCCAGGCTGGGGTCCCAAGTTCTCGCTCTGGTCCTCTGTCACAACAACCTCCCTCTCCCCTCACCTCGTTAAACCAGTAACACTCAGGGAAACTGATTCCCACCCCCTCTGCATGCAAACCATTGAAAAACCTAAGTGAAAACAAGAAAATCCCCCACTTAGTTACACTGGACTTTCAAAAGCTTACAACTGAACATGGACTTAGTACAGCTTTGAAACTTAACTATGCCGAAGAAAAATGCTGTTTTTAACCAGCTTAATTGAAATGAAACAAGCTCTGAAACAGTTTCCTTCCCTTGTCAAATCTTCCTTTTTAAACTTTCCCTTTATTTGTTTAGCAGTTTGTGTTTAACACAGAACTGTTCTGTTTTTTTTAAGTTATCTCTGCTGCCATCTGATCGCTACTTCCAGTTTCAAATGAGGGGTGTGGTTGAGGTTCTACTGTAATGGTCAGTGGAAGATTGACGACAAGACCCTGTGGTCTCCTGGCTCCCAGCCCGATGCACCTTCCCCAATGCTGCAGGGTGCACTGAGGGTGACCTCCCCCCCTCCCCACAGAGACATAGACAAGCTGGGAGCTGCATGATGCTTGGCCAGGCTGATGGGCCCAGGGTTTCCTGGGTTTTGCAGGGACCTCTGCTTGCTTTGGCTGTGCTAGATTTCATCTGCAGATTAGAGACAACGTGTGATGGATGCAGGAAGAGGTGAGACATCGTCAACTTCCTGTAGCTGGAGCCACCAGTTGAGTTCCTTATTTGGGGCTTGGTCGAGCTGGGCACCGGGGTGTTGGTGGCAGCTCTGAGGGGCCCTCACTGCCCCAATCATGGCATCTGCTCTCATCGTCCTCCTCCTCAGTGAGTATCAGAGACAGCCAGGGTGTCTGTCCATGGGGAGCAGGGTCTGAGGCTCGTGCATGCGCCATGGGGGGGATCTGAGACCAGGGCATGTGCCCATGCGGGGGCGGATCTGAGACCAGGGTGTAGGATCCAGCTGCTCTGGGATCTGGTCACTAACGAGCCGTCTCCTCTCCAGGCTGCTGGCTGGCTGGGCACAGCGGGGTGTGGGGAGGTGAGTATCAGTCTGTGGGGTGGACGGTAATATCAACGATAGGGGAGGGGATTCGTGGGGTGGGGTGGGCCTGTCCATCGGCTCTAGAGCCCCTCGGGGAACAGAAACATTCACGGGCACTGCAGCCATGGGGAGAACAAACCAGATCCACCCCCATCCCCACATCCACCCCCAGCAGCTCCCTCCCCTGCACTCACAGCCCCCCCACCCACCTCCCGTTCCCAAGGCCTGGGGAAAAATTGGGACATGTGTGACTCCCGTCGGTCACAGACTCTATTTCCAACACCAGGATGGGGGGCAGAGTTGCAGGAGGCCCACTGACCAGGCCTCCAGGCTGGCCCCAAGTGGGGCCGGGGTGGGGGCAGGTGATCTCTCATGCAGCCGGGTCCTCAGCTATGTCTGGCTGAACCCTCTGCCCCCAAAGCCCATGAGCAGGCAGTGCCAACCCTGGTAGGGGACAGACTCCTAGAGAGGCCAAATGACGGATGGACTGAATTGGGGTAGGGAGACGCGGGGGGCTGTGTCTCCCCTGTTTAACTCCTGTCTCTTGTTGAAAGCAGGGCGTGAATACCCCAAACCCACCATCTCGGAGAGCCCCAGCAGGGTGGTGGCGCTCGGGGGAAATGTCACCATCCGCTGTGAGGGTCGGCAACGATCCATGGAGTTCTTTCTGCGTAAAGCTGGACACCCGAACCTGCAGGTGCGGACGGTGCCTGATGGGACCGTGGCTGAATTTCCCATCCCCAGTGTCAGCCGGGAAGATGGAGGGAGCTACACCTGCGACTATCGCTCCATAACGCAACAGAATCGCTCGTCGTATCCCAGCGATCCCATTGAGATCATTGTAGGAGGTGAGGGGCCCGGCTCCCAGCCCCACACCCAGCCAGACCCACAAGGGGTCTCTGCACCAATGGGCCAGGCTCTGCCCTGATTCCTGGGCCCAGCAGAGGGGACACCCAGCCAGGGAGCGAGGACAGAGTCACTGGGTGATTCCCCAGCCAGAGGGGAGAAGCAGCCACTGGAGATTTGTGGCAGAGAAAGGGGGGATCCCTGCCCCCAGGGGGAGCTGCAGAGCAGGGGGGCCTTTCCCAGACAACACATCAGTTAGGGGGTGATGGGTGGAGCTGAAGGTTATAAACCTCAGTGTATAGTAGAGACTTGCACAATCCCCTACAAGTCAGTGGTTGTGCTGTGCACAGAACCCAGGAGTTCTGGACCCAATCCATCCTCACCCCTGCCCTCCCAACGGAGAAGCCAGGGAGTGAATGGACCCTGGAGACTGAACTGGCCTGTCACTCGCTAGGGAGCAGAGCTCTGGGCCCCCAGGGGCTGGAGTTGCTCCGTGACTCATGCTGTTAGCCCAGGGCTCAGAGGAAACTCTGGCCCCTGTGGAAAGGGATCCAGGAGCCCGTCCCCCAGGCCGCCGGGTCTGACCCACCATTGACGCCATGTGGTGAGGACGGGCCCCAGGACTGAGTGACGGGGCCTGCGTCTCACGGCCTGTCTGCTTCCCACTGCAGAGCCCAGCTACCCCAAACCTAGCATCTACCTGAGCTCCTGCGGGAGGGTCTCCCTGGGGGGAGCCGTGAGCGTCTGGTGTCGGGGACAGCGCCTGGGTGTGCGGTTCGTGCTGAATAAAGATGGGCACCATTTCCCACCTGTGGATTCGGACGACAATGAGGCTGTGTTTGCCATCAGAAACGTGCGCTGGGAGCACGGCGGGAGCTACAGCTGCTCCTATCACAGCAGATCGGAGCCGTTCGCCGTGTCGTACCCCAGCAACCCCGTGGAGCTGGTGGTGAGAGGTGAGGGGCCCAGCTCGGCATCCCCATTCCCATCCCCACCCCCAGCAAGACCCTCACGGGGGCTCGGTGCCAATGGGACGCTCAGAGCCAGGCTCTGCCCTGAGCCCTGACCCAGCAGAGGGGACGCCCGGCCGGGGAGCGGGGACGGAGTCACTGGGGGGTTCCCAAGCCAGGGGGGAGCAGCAGCCCCTGGACACTTGGGGCATGGAGGCTACTTCAACGCTGCCACTTGTGCATAGGAAACGTGAGTCACTATTTAATCCCGTGATCCCATCGCCTCTGTTCTTCAGGCTCCGCCCCAGGCAGTGCCCCAGCCGGGGCAGAATGAGGCAGGGGCAGCAGAAGAAGCGTTGGCTTGGTGGACACGGCGCTGGGATGGGACCCAGGAGATCTGGCACAGCCCCTAGCGCAGGCACAGACTCTGTGTGATGGGAGAAAGTCGCAGTTTTCAAAAGTGTCCTTCAGTGTGGGGGGGCCTCAATCTTGGGGGATCTCAGGCCGAGCGCCCACAAACCGAGACGTCCACAGTTAGTGGTCTTCTGCAAATGCTGGCCTCAATAAAGCGGGATCCCCTGTGTTGGGGGAGCATGTAGGGCCCCCACCATGATCAGGGCCCTGTTGTGCCAGGTGCTGCATAAACACAGAATGAAGAGACAGTCCCTGTTCCTGGGAGCTCACTGAGGAAAGTGAATCTGTTTGTGCCTCAGTTTCCCCCATGTAGAATGGGGATAATGACCCCTCCTGCCTCCCTGGGGGTGACTCCCTTACTGTGGAGGGCTCAGGCCCTGCTAGGGTGGCCAACTTTCCAATTTGTGAAAACCAGACACTGAGTGCGGGAACCTCTCCCCCGCCCTGCCACACTCATCCCCACCGTCTCCCCCTACCACACCCTGCACCACTTCCTGACTTCCTGTTCGGTGCCAGGTGCCAGAGACCAGCCTGTGAGTCGCTCTGTCCAGGGCAGGCCGGACGCAGTGAACGAGGCAGGGGTCACACATGGGCATATGAGGATCCCAAGAACTAGGGAGCCACGGCTCGGTGTCTGTGGGGCTGGGAGCCCAGCTCGCAGGGCAGGAATTCTGGGTGCAGGGAGCTCAGCACGGAGGAAGCTACAGCTGCAGCTATCCAGCCCCGATCAGAGCCCTTCATCTCCTCACAACCCAGCGACCCCCTGTGGCTGGTGGTAGGAGGTGAGGTGCCCGGCTCCATGTCGCAGCTCCCAGCCCCACACCCAGCTGGACCCTTGGGGGGGGGGCAGAGGCTGTGCACTGACGGGACGCTCAGAGCCAGACCTGAGTCGGTGTGGCCAGGGGTGACTGGTGCCATGGCACCGTGAGGGGTGGTGGGGGGACGGGACTGGAAATGGTTACTCAGACAGCACCCCCTAGTGCCACACTGGGGCATTGGGACCGGCCTGACTGCCGGGGGAGAGCGCCCCCTACTGAGCCCCCTGCACCCCAGTGCCCCCAGCACCTAAATCCATCAAATATTTCTTGCTCTGACCCCACTTGATTCCTCAAGGCCCCCGACAGCCTCCCCATAGAATTTTCTGCTGCCCTTGGGCGTCACCTGGGGTGGGAGGGGCTGGGGGGGGAACAGACCAGCTGCTCACGGCACTCACGGCTGCTGCTGTTTCCCAGGCCCGCCGGCACCTCTGTGTCTGATCAGCAACATCATCACTGGTGTGAGCACGGCAGCCGTCCTCCTCCTCCTCCTCCTCCTCGTGGCCTTCGTCTGCTTCATAAAAACCCGAGCCAGTGAGTGCCCCGCCCAGCGAAGGGAAGGGTTAAACCTGCCGCTAAGCAGGGCGGGATGGGGTCACGGCTGGGATGCGGGACTGTGCCGGGAAAGTCAAGGAGGTGGGGGGGGGTTCAGCAAAGGACACTGTTGTATGTGTAATCCCTGTACACACGCACCTGTCCCACCCCAGAGGTGGCTGCGTCTCAGTGCCGGGCTAAGGGTCCCTGTATAAAGAGCTTCTCAGGTACCTCGGGTGACAGAGGAGCTGACTGGCCTGGATCAGGTTCGTTATAATGAGTCACTAACGAGGGAGGATTGGGGACAGGAAAAGCCCCCGAGTTAATCTGCCCCTCCCCCGGTGCATGCTCTGGTGTTGTGCTGCCCCCTGCTAGTCCAGATCACCCCAGCCAGGATCCAGGCTCAGCACCAGCAGCAGAGGGACACCCCCAGGCACCCCCATCCCTGCTGCCCTGTGGGGGGGTGAGTGGCCGGGCGCTGGGACCGGGGGATCCCGATCGGCTCATGGGGGTTTCTGGTTTGTGTCCCTCTGCAGGAAAAGGAGCCGCACTGAGACCGAGCAGGTAGGAACCTGCCGCCTCCCCCCTCCCAATCGACCTGCCGGGGTCACAGGGCTCCTGGGTTCTGTCCCAGCTCGGGGAGGAGAGTTCGGTCTAGTGGTTAGAACAGGGAGGCTGGGAGCCGGGACTCTCCCTGGTCTGGGATGGGAGTGGGGTCTAGTGGTTGGGGCAAGGTTGAATCAGGGAACAGGGTTCAGTGTGAGGCAGGATGGGGGCTCTCTGGGTGTGTTGGGGAATCTCCCTGCGGGTTGGGGGATATGACATTTACAAAGGGGTTTTCTCTCTTTTAATGCCAGCCCTATGGGGGTGTTGAAGGCCCCGGCTCAGGAAGACCCCATCTGTGAGTAACACACCCAAGGGGGTACCAGAGTGGGGCAGGACCCCTGGGGAAGGGAGGGGCTTTTGGGGGCTCCCCTACCCCTCTAGTTCATGGTCTCCCTCTGTCTGCCCCCAGGCCTGGGGGGGTCTTGTGTCCCCCCCTTCACTTCTCTATCAGATCTTCCCAGCCAGTGACCTACAGGGAATCTCCATCCACTCCTGGCTCCCAGCCCCCTGCTCTAACCTCTAGACCCCACTCCCCACCCAGATCCGGGGAGAGAACCCAGGCATCCTGACTCCCAGCCCCCCTCCCACCCCACCGTAACACCCTAGACTCTGCCATTGTCTCTGTGCCTCAGTTTTCCTCTCTGTAACATGGGGCTATTGACCCTGGCCCATGCTCTGGGGCGGAGGAGGGGTGGTTGTGCTGGGCTCTGACCCCACTGGCTGGACAGAGGGGTCAGAGCTGGGTGTGGGGTTCTGCTCTGGGCCGGCCAGGGGTGCAGCTCAGCGGGTGTCTCTGTTCTGCAGACGACTCCATTGACGAAGGGGAACAGCCACAGACCCTGGTAAGTGTCCCCTGTTCCCCCATGGGGTCTGACCTCCAACCCTGACCCACATGGGCCCCAGCAGGCCTCTCACATCCCCCCCCCCCCACGCCTATCCTGGCACACTCAATGGTTTGGGGTGAGGACTGGGCTATAAGGGGGGGGATTATGGGATCGCCAGCTGGGATTGCAGGGGGGGTGGGTGGGTGTGTGTGTGTGTGTGTGTGTTTCTCTGTCGCCCCCTGTTTGAGGGGATGGACCCTGCTCTGTGTGTGTGGTTGGGGGTTGGTGCATGCACGTGCACACACACGTGACTCTCTCCCCTCCCACCCCAAGGAGCCCGGCATCTACGCCGAGCTGGACCGCCAGACGCTGCAGCCCAGTGTGTACGATGTGATCAACGTGAGCCGGGGAGCCCCGCAGTGAGAGCCCCCCGCAGCCATGGGGCGCCAGACCCCAGGGGGCAACAGCCTCACGCTCCAACAGCGCCAGCCCCAGAGAACTCTGCATCTAGGGAAGATTTAGGGGGGACGCTGCCCTCCCCGCGCTGCAGCCCCGTCCCATCAAACTTCTGTCCCCCTGCCCCACGCAGACCCACATGTGGGGGGAAGGGGGAGTTCAGCACTGGGATGGGTAGGAGACGCTTCAAGGCAGCTTTGATGTTATTTTGCATCCTGTTAACCTCCAGATTTGTAATAAACACAGATCATTAAACCAGCCCCCCCGGGCAGCCCCCAACCCCCGTCCCGGCGCCAGGAGAGTGTGTCACACCTGGGGGAGATGGGGAGCTGCCGGGGAATCAGGTTCATGTTGAGTTTCACTGGAAGTAGCAGAACCAGCAAGCGAGCGGCGGCTCTGACCACACTTCCCCTTTTCACAGATATTTCGGTTGCTGTTTTAGCAACTTAGGATCTAAATTTATCCCTCCCCCGTCCCATTGTGGGGGCCAGAAACACAACCCCTCCACCCTCTGTCCCATCTCTGTCTCACACCATTGTGCTAAGAACAGCATCTACAGCGATGCTACCTGAGAAGGAGGTTGGCCAGGACCCTCCACCCTCTGAGAGAGTGGACCCCCAAGAAGGGCCCTCGCACTGAACGGGGTTCCCCCCAGGGACCGCACGGGGCCAAGAGTGGACACGATCTGTGAGTCCGTGACAACCTGGTAGCGGAGGATGGTTGGTGGCTGCACCCTGTAGATGGTTGGCTGCGAGTGCAGGCGCTTTGCAGTGAGTGGCGGCCAGCAATAAAATGAGGGAATTGAAAGGAACCAGACTGGACATGGCCTAGAACCAGCTCCGTAAGAGGGACCTGGCCCCTGGGAGAGAGGGCCGAGCATTGGGAGGATCCCCAAGGAGCGGCTGATTGCTCAGCTTGTAGAGAACGACCAGTCTGAGGAACAGACTCCAGACCCCAGGTGGGCTCTCGGGGTGTAGCCAGGGGGCGGTCACTGTAGCAGCCAGGAGTCTATCAGATCCAACGCCCCAGTCAGCGGGGGGCTCCCCAGTCAGGTTTCTGCCTGGAGGAGCTGTGGAGACTGGAGCTAAAAGCGAAGGAGCTGGAGGAGCGGAGGCTGGTGGACCGTGCAGAACAGCAGAAGCACGAGTTGGAGATGGACGAGCGGCGGGCCAAGAGGGCCTGCCGGGGGGTAAGTGGGGAAGGGCCCCGGGACATCAGTTTTGTGGGGAATCTAGACACCAAACTGCTGCCCCAGTTCGAGGAGGGGGGATATTGATGCCTACCTCACAGCCTTTGAGAAGGCTAGTGATCTGTACCAGATTGACCCTGCAGACAGGCTTCGCTGTCTGACCCCCCTGCTGAGCCCTAAGGCCATACAGGTGTTCAGCCGAATGGATGGGATTGAGACGGGGGACTATGACCTGTTCAAACAGGCTTTGCTGCTGAAGTTTGAACTGACCCCTGAGGCGTACAGGAAATGATTCTGGGGTGTGCGCAAGTCCTCAGGTGTCACTTACAAGGAGGTCGCCAACCTCCTTGGGGAATATCTCTGCAAGTGGGGGAAGGACGCAGGGGCCACTACCGCAGAGGACGTGTATAACCTGGTGGGGTTGGAGCAGCTGTATGACATCTGCCCTCCGGACTTTAAGATGTGGCTAGTGGACCGGAAGCCCAAAGATCTGCGCAGTGCTGGTGCACTGGCAGATGAGTTTGTGGACAGCAGATAGGGGCAGGAGGGAGACCCACATTGGGGACTCAGAAGGGGAGTCACCCAGAGACCTCTCAAAGATGGGACTCCAGGAAGCCCAACTCGGGGGTGCCCAGGAATGCGGGGGCAGGCTGACCCCCTCCGTGGGACTTGAGGAACCTGAAATGTAATTACTGTGGCCAAAAGAGACACAAGGTGGCACAGTGCCTGAAGATGAAGGAAATGGCGGCCAAGCAGAACCCGTGGGTGTCAACTGGGTGGAAACCCCACAAGAGGGGGCACCACAGGTCCAGGGGGCTGCAGTCGAGAGGGCTGTGTCAGGGGGAGGGCACCACCAGGCCACGCCAGCAGGGGAAGACGTGGACCCAGCCCCAGAGTGCCCGTACTCAATCCGCCGGGTGAGCGTGGGACAGGCCCCAGGGAACAATCGCCACATCATCCCCATTGAGGTGGGGGGAAGACGCATCCAGGGGTTCTGGGACACGGGTGCAGAGGTGACGCTGGCACTTTACAAGGTGGTGGGCCCAGACCAGCTAATGCCTACATGACTCTGAGGGGAGTGTTTGGGTCCCCGTCTGTAACAGACTCACAGAACGTGCCCTGGCCTCCCTCAGCCCAGCACATCCAAGTCTCCCCTGCATCCCGGTGGGCTCTGCCTGCTCCCCTTCTCCAGCCCAGAGCCCCACCTGCTTCCCAGCTCGGCATCCGATATCACCGGCCCCAGGCCCCGTGTCACGGAGTATTAGGGAACTCAGGGCCCTGCACCCCCGGCCTCCTGCGATTCCCCATGACTCTCAGCCAGCCAGTAAGGCAGAAGGTTTATTTGGATGACAGGAATACAGTCCAAGACAGGTCTTGCAGGCACAGACAACAGGATACCTCTCAGTTAGGTCCAGCTTGGGGTCCCAGGGCATCCCAGCCCACCCCCCTTTGGGGGGTCAGAGCCATCTCTGCCTCCCAGCCATCTCTCCAGCCTGCTTCCAACACTCTGCCTTCAGCGACCCCTCCCACAGCCTTTGTTCAGTTTCCCGGGCCCCGGAGTCACCTGACCTCCAACCCCCTCCTGGGTTCTCATGTTACAAGCTCAGGTATGTTCCCTCGGCAGACTCCCATCCCCCGATGCAGACCATCCTAGTCACATTCCCCTGTCAGCATTCACACACCCCAGCAAGAACAGTCCCAGTTCGTCACATCTCCCCCCTTCGAGACCGAACTGAGCGGGGTCACTTTAGCCAGTGACCTGGGGAAGTTCGAACCTACCCCCGTTCCCATGGATGCCCCCGCATCCCTCCAGTTCCTTGGTGGGAATTACACCAGGCCCCTCCAGTTTCACGCCCCCCCTTAGGTCGGGGGTGCTTGATGGCACTCGCAGTTCGCATGTGGGAAGGTTTATGCGGCCTGTGCCCTTTCCCCCCCCATACCTCTGGGGTTCCAACTGGGCTGTGGTCTTCTCCCAGCGCTCCAGTCTGGAGGTCTGTGCTTTGGGCTCTCTTGGTTTAGAGCC